CTTGTCGACCTGCTCCTCGTCGACCAGCACAGTTGTCGGCCGACCACCCACGTCGGCCACCCGAAGTTGGCGTCATGAAGTTGACGCCCCGCTACTCGACGCCCAATTGCTCGGCGTCCTGAGTCGAGGTCGACGTCGGCCCCTCCTTCGTCGACCACCAGGTCAAGTCGACCACCCGCAGGTCGACCAGCAGTCCATCAGCCGACCACCGAAGTCGGCTTCCCCAAGTTGACGTCACCAAGTTGACGTCCTCCGCAGGTCGACTCCCAAGTCGACCTCCCCGAAGTTGGCGCCACCCTGAAGTCGGCGCCCGTGCAGTGGTCCCCGTGCAGGTCGACCTCCTCGTCAACCAGCTCGCCCACTGCTGCAGGTCGGCTGCTCCCCTCAGACCCGACCACGATGTCGGCTCCGCCCAAGCGAGGACGGGGCCAACACACAACTCCCGTTGACATCAACGACATCTCACCACGATGTACAACTCCCAAAAGCAGTATGCCGATCGACAGCGACGAGATCACTTAGTAGCAGTCGGAGATCAGGTGCTTCTTGACACGCGCAACTTGAACCTGTCTCACCTCCCATCCAATCTCCGGTCTCGCTTCTGTGGGCCTTTTCTCGTTGAGGCACAGGTGACACCTCCCATCCAATCTCTTACCTACTACGTGGAAGCTTCACAACGCTTTCCATGTTCAGCTACTGAAGCCCTACAAGGAACCCAACCAACAATTCCAGGGACGGCAGCTACCGCCACCACCACCTGTTCTCATCCAGGATGAACCAGAGTACGATTTGGAGCACATTCTCACTCATCGGTGCCGCGGCGGCAAGACCCTCGAGTTCCTGATACGCTGGAAGGGATACGACCCCACTGAGGACAGTTGGGTTGCAGAAGCTGATATGGGCAACACACGCCGTGCTCTCAAGGACTATCTTGTCAAGCAGGGTGTATCTCATGCCACCCAGCTTTGAGAGGGGGACGTGTGAGAGTACAACGGCTTATGCTGGCTTTGCTAGCTTGCCTGGAATTTAATTTATCATGCATTGATATGTTTGATTTCCTAGGTTAGGTGCATTCCTATATTTTATTATAGTTATAGCACCGAACCAGGTTACGTGTACCGAACTCAAGCCTATTCGGTTTCCACCGAATTTCTTTCTACTGAGTTCGAGAAGGTTCTGTTCGAGGTGCTTCGCGACCCTCAAAACATTCACGTAACACCTGGGTAACTGGCCTTGTGTCGAGACTATATATAGCCTGGTGTTGTACCCAGGTGAATCATTCAATTACAATTCTCTTTTCTGAGCTCGATCCTAGATCCTCACATCGACGAGGACGACGGCTGCCACACCTCCCGCGGCCTCCCTTGACGTCGTCGTTGTTGTAGGAGTTGCTGCAGTCGGGGCACTCGAAGGAGAGCTAGTCGGGGTCGCCGCATAGCCAGCACTCCCGACATCAACTTCCTCCTCCTCGACCGCTGTTCTTCGTCGACTTCTTCTTGTCGACTTCCTTGGCCGGCTTCCAGCCACTGCTATCACCGCCGCCAGACTGCGTGCCCCGATCGACCTCCTTGCTTCGCCGGGGTGACGTAGTTCACCTGCGCCAGGAGCTCCTGGGACCGCTCGGCCTCCTGCATCGCCTCGTCCTGCAGGATGTACAAGGTCAACGTATCCTCCTTCGTCCCCATAAGGTGGTGCGAGCAGCCGCTGTCAAGCAGAACCATCGCCGGGCTTGCCTGCACAGCTGCCGCCACCGCCTGGAATTCCTCGTCAGCCTCCGGCACCAGCGAGACGGTTGGCTCCACCACGCCGAATAGCGAGCACGACGCCTCCTTGTCGTCTCGCCCCTTTCCGCCAGCAGAAGAGTTGGCATCCTTTGCTGAGGTCGACTTGTTCGACTGCTTCTCCTTGCGCGGCTGATTTCCTCAACATGGACGATGGCTGCCAGACCTTGGCATCCTCGGCCTCCCTTGGCGTCCTCGTCGTCGGTATCACTACGGTCGGGGCACTCGAAGGAGAGGTGGTCGGGGCTGTGGCAGATCCAGCACTCCCGATGCCGACTTCTTCCTCCTCGACCGCTGTCTTTGGCTGACATCTTCGTGTCGGCGTCCTTTGCGTGCTTCCACCCGCTGCTACCACCGCTGCCAGTCTGTCTGCGCTGCCCCAGTTGACCTCCTTGCTTCGACGGGGCAACGAAGTTTGCCTATACCAAGAGCTCCTAGGACCGCTCAAACTCCTGCATCGCCTCATCCTGCAGGATATACGAGGTCAAGTTGTCCTCGTTGAGCGTCGCCCGCGTGCTCGGCGCCATGGACAGCCGCTCAGCAGGTTGTAGCTGCTTGAGAGTCACTGCATAACATGGGTGACATACAACGCCGTCGAGTACTGCGCGCTGGCCAACCTGATGGTGGCGAGAATTTGCCGAGCCCGGTTGCAGTAGTCGGTTGCCGTCTCCTCGTCGCCCATGCGCAGGTGCATCAGCTGCCCCTCCAGCTGGGCGATAAACAAGTCCTCAATGACTTGGTACGTCGACTCGATGAAGTGCCACGCCCAATGGCCGGCGTCGAGGTACTCTCGGCACCACTTCAAGGCGATCTGCACACCCGACGAGCAGCACCGCGAGATGACCGTGAAGGTCAACAGCTGCTCGGAGCGAAACTCCACACGCAGGTCAGGGTCCTCCGGCGTCGCCACGGTGCCTTGGGCAAAGCTTACCAGCCCGGCCATCTCCAGCTGGGGCTTGATGGCTTCCTTTCAGGTGAGAATGTCGGGTCGACCAACGAGCGGCGGGGTGACCAAGATCCTGTTCGGCGTAAACTTGAAGTAGTCGTAGCTCGGTGCTATTCCGCCCGCCGTCACCTGGGTCGCCAGCGACAATCCGCTTCGTCGACCTCCGGCATCGCCCTGCGAGGCAGCTGCAGCAGTCGTTGACTGCATCCCTCGCGCATGCACACCGCCGACTTCACCGGCGTGTATCACACCTCGTTGCCTTAACGTGTCGCCCGCACTGCTACCGACCTGACCTCCACCGGCGTTGACGCTCACGTTGACGCAGCCGTCGTTGTTTACTGGTCGAGGAGATGCTGGTCGAGAAGGGGGGTGCTCCGCTGCCCACACAGAGCAGAGGCCTGCCTCAATGACTGCCCAGGGCATTGCCCCGTACTCCTGGGCCTCGTGGCATCTCCTCGCATCCATTGGCTGTGCCTCCAGGGTGTCCATCACCTCGGTGTCACCTATGCGCACGCTAGTGACTCCACGGCTGCCAGCCTACGAACACGATCGGCAAGTGCAAATTCGGCTAGACTCAACTACGTCGCGGTGTCGTCCACGCTCACCGCACCATGCAGAGATAACTTTAACAGCGGGAGCTAGACTACGGGCTAGGCACAGGTGCTCGTGTGATCTCTGTGTTCGTTCCTTAGTCATTTGCTTGTGCTTGCACTACTTGCTGGTTCACGGGGAAAATTGGCAAGAGTTTTTACCAGCAAAAATTCACAACAATGATAGCAACAACATTGGCATGCAAGACTACATCAGACCTAGCAAAGCTGCTGGTCGACAACGTGCCAGCACATCTTGATCGACCGCGCTCCAGCTGAGCAAAGTCGCGGCTTGCCAACATTGCAAGTCCACGGCGTGCCAACACTGTAGAAAGTCGGCTGCACAGCGTTGCACCCGCGGGACAATGATGCGGGGTGCTTCGCAGGTGCGCGCAGTTGGTAGGTGCGCTCTTCCTTGTCACGTGCACAGCGCATACGCCCAGGTTGAATCCACGCCAGTGACTGCGCCCACCAGCCACGTCGACCCCGAGATACCACCCCCGAGGTCAGCCTCGCTGACTCCACTCCGGCGACCTTCACACACGTCGCCCCTGTATCCTGGTAGACCGGGAAACCAGGACGACACCACCAAGTCGGTGGTGACGTCCACCGCGGCCCCCGTGGCCCCCGCGGTCGGCGCCCGCAGCTCCCGCGGTCCATGGCCCTCCCGCGGTCCCGCGGCCCTCCCGCGGTCCCCCGCGGCCCCCGCGGCCGGCTCTGCCCAAGCAAGGACGGGGCCAAACACTACTCCCGTTGACAGGCTCTGAATACCAAGTGACGTGAGTGCAATTGAGTGAGCGAGCGAGAATTTCACTATCGAAGCAAGAGTACAATGAGCGAAGGCATGAGCGAAGAATATATAGCGAAAACTATAGTGGTAACGGTAATGCGTGAAAGTGGGGTGCGCGATGGGCCTGGCGCCGGGGTTGGGAAATGTCAAGGCGGAGGTCCGGAGTGCGGGTTACCAACCGAACCGTGAGGTTGGGTCGCGTCGTGAACAGTGGCGGAAACAGTGTCGAGGAGAATGTCGCGAGTGGTAACGGAATACTGTTGGGTGCTGTTGGCGGGAATAGTGGTGTACGCGTTGAGCAGGGACGCGAATTAAGGAAAATGAATTTTCCTTACAGTCAACCTAAAGTGTTGTACAGGTTATCCGGGCGATGACGGTGCATAACTACAATAAGCTCTACTATACTGTTGGCAGTTCTACAGTTGTGTACAGATACATTTTACAAGGGCCAAACCCTTAGTGTCAGCAGTGGCAAAGACCAAGTCGTTGACGTACACGAGGATGAAGAACGGCGGTAGTGAAGTGTCGGTGCGCAAAAATAGCGACGGGTCAGCTGTCGAAAGAGCAAACCCAGGAACCACAAGTGTCGTCCTCAGTGTGTCGTACCACTCACCAGGCGCCTGGCGGAGACCGTAGACTGGCCGCCGGAGGCTCCACTAAGTACCTGTAGGAAACGACCCAGTGAAGCCAGGTCGGCGGCGCAGCCAGATCTGCTTGTATAGGCTGCCCAATAAGAAGTCAACTCACTGTCGCTGACTAAAGCTCCGTACAACGTAACGAGCCTTGAAAATAGGTGGAGAACCCGGCGGCCGCTTCACCCTGAAAATCCACATGCCATCGACTATGTTCGCCCCAGGAGGGGGAACTGCATCGACGTAAATGCCTGTGGACTTCTAGGATGCCATCTCTGCGTCCATGGCTGTCTGCCACTGAGAGGAGTAGGGACCCGTAATCGCCTCTGCGTAAGAGCGCGTGGTCGGGATGTCTGGAGCATCCGGGTCTACCTCAAGTCCAAGCAGCATGGACACGAGATGGGGTACAGCAGCTGCAAGACACTCAAAGTCCTCCTGCCTGTCCTCAAGGACGTCCGTGCCAAGAGCACACTCACCCCCGACAGACGGAGGACAGACAGACTCAGACTCAGCAACAATACTAGCGGCGTAGTCGAGACGACAAGCAGCAGCAAAGTCAACGAGCTCAGCGACTAGGGCACATGCAGCAGTGGACTCAAACGAAGGGTCAGTGACAACAATGGCCAGGAGACGCATGACAGTAGGACTGGCAGCACGAACTTAGTTAGACCCGGGGTCTGGACCGACAGGAAGAGAGGACACAGGAGGAGACGGCAGAGAGGAACTCGGAGTGGAACAGAGGAAGGACGAAGTGCCATTGTATGCGTGCCAGGGACAGGAAGAGGACGCGGACGCGGAACACGGCAACCAGTGCGAACAGCGCGAAAAGGCGAGGCTGGACAAGACGCAGGCTCAAGACGCTCTGTAAGAGAGTCTGGCTGCTCATTGTAAGGAGAAGGGGCAGGCAGTGGGGAGCCTGGCTGTAACGGGAGGCCAGTAGAAGACGGGAGGCTAAGAACCTGGCAAACCACCGAGTCAGGCGGTGGCAAAGACGACAGTGACGGCGTAGCGAAGAACATTCATCGCCGTGCACTACCACCAGCACCAGTAACACCAGCTCCAGCACCTCCAGTTCGAGTACCAGCAACTCCAGCGCCTCCAGCAGCTTCAGAACTTCCAGCTCCAGCGTCTCTAGCTCCAGCGCCTCCAGCTCCAGCACCTCCAGCTCCAGCGCCTCCAGCTCCAGCGGCTTTAGCTCCAGAGCCCGCAGCACCAGCAGCTCCAGTATCTCCAGCACCAATAGCACCACCAGCTCCAGCAGCTCCAGTACCTCCACTACGAGCACCTCCGGGACTAGCACCTCCAGCACCTCCAGCAGGAGCAGCACCACCACCAGCTCCAGCAGCTCTAGTACCTCCAGCACCAGCAGCACCACCAGCTCCAACAGCTCTAGTACCTCTAGTACGAGCACCTCCGGGACCAGCAGCTCCAGCAGCTCCGCCGCCTCCAGCACCTCCAGCAGCAGCATCAGCAGCTCCAGCAGCTCTAGTACGTCCAGCACCAGTAGCACCACCAGCTCCAGCAGCTCCAGTACCTCCAGTACGAGCACCTCCGGGACCAGCAGGTCCAGCAACTCCGGCACCTCCAGCACCTCCGGCACCTCCAGCACCTCCAGCAACACCACCACCACCAGCTGCTGCAGCTCCATTACCTCCAGTACGAGGACCTCCGGGACTAGCAGCTCTAGCACCTCGAGCAACAGCAGCACCACCAGCTCCAGCAGCTCCAGAAACTCCACTACCTCCAGCACTAGCAGCACCACCAGCTCCGGCACCTCCAGTGCCACCAGCACGAGCACCCCCGAGACCAGCAGTGCCAGCACCACCAGCACCTCCAGCACTAGCAGCTCTAGGGCCTCCGGGTTCAGCAAAGCCACTCTGAAGGCTACAACGTCGAGCGTACCACTCTCACAACTGCTGTGATCAGAGAGGCTCCTACCAGCTATACCGCTGGGGGGAGGCACTAGTGGGACCTCAAGGACTAGTAGCTCCAGCACCTCCAGTACCTCCAGTACCAGCAGTACCTCCAGCACCTCCAGGACTAGCAGCTCCAATGCCTCCAGCTCCATCAGGGCCACTCCGAAGACTACAGCGCCGAGCGTACCACTCGCGCAACTGCTGTAGTGAGAGAGCCTCTCGTAGTGTAGACGCAGGACCCCTAGGCTCAGCACCCCCAGACTCAGCACCCCAGGCTCCACACGTGCAGGCTCAGCACCCCCAAGCTCCAAACTCGCAGGCTCAGCATTCCTAGGTTCCGCACGCTCAGGCTCAGCACCTCTAGGCTCCGCACGCTCAGGCTCCGCAACCGCAGGCTCAGCACCCCCAGACGCAGCACCCCAAGCAGCACCAGAGTGACCAGTGACCTTGACAGGCTCAACCAAGGGGAGTGGGTCTACCTGAGACACACCTGAAGGAGCAGGACCCTGAGGGGGGGGGGGGATCTACTTGAGGGGGACTTGGAGCGAGGAAGAGCAACGGGGGGAGGGAGAGGGGCAGTGACTTGTCGAATGTGACGTCCTGAGAGGGCAGCACACGGCTCGAGGTGGGTGGTAAAACTGCCAGCCAGGCGCGTCAGGGGGAAAGCCAAGGAAGATGCAGGAAACGACGCGCGAGGAGAGCTTGTCCGCGGAGGTATCGCGGACAAAGGCACGACAGCCCTAGACCCGGAACACCGACGCATCGCCAACCTCTTCTGGCCAATGCAGTGTAGGCAAGGTCTCCAGCAAGGAGACACGGGGCCAGAGGTTGAGCTGATGCGCAGCGTACCGGACCGCAAACGGTCACAGAAAATGGGGAGCAACCGCATGGATCATGGAGGTACGAGCCACCTCCATGACGAAGCCAATGCGGCGCTCAGCAATCCCATTCTGCTGAGGAGAGGCCGGAAGCGTGAACGTCTGGAGGATGCCCTCCCCACGACAAAAGTCCCGCAAGAGGTCAAAGGAGAACTCACCACCTCTGTCAGAGTGCAGACGAAGGACAAAAAGGTCCGTGTCGATCCGCTCGCGGAGCTGGAGACGGACAGCGCGGATCCAAGGGATCAAAACATCAGGGACCTCCCCCTTGCTGCGCAAGGGGAAGACCGTGGTGTAACGCGAGTAGTCATCAACAATCAGCAGAAAGTATCGCTCACGGCCCTGTCCCTGGATGCGGGCTGGGCCCCACACGTCCATGTGGAGAGTCTATAGGGGAGCAGTCGTTGGGGAAAACGAGGAGTGAGGAGCGGCGCGCTGCCGCCCCTCGACACAGGGAAGGTAGGGAGGGGCAGGCGAGTGTGGGAGGGGAGGCAGAGACCTGGGAAGACCAGAGACAAGGAGGCAGGAGTGCATGCCACGGAGGCGTGGTAGGGAGGGGGTAACCTAGGTGGTGGTGCCAAAGGGGAGTCTGGTGCGATAGGAGGCGACACGAATAGGGGGCTGCTAGCTGACCTGACGCAGACGCAGCTACCTGAGGAGGCTCAGTAGTCGGTGTGTACAGGCTCGACCCAGGCCGACGGGTGAATGTGGCCAGGTGACGGCCTGTCCGTGCACACGTGCAGATCGCCACACGCTGTTCTCCAGGGATAAAGGTATCGACCCAAGCATCCTGAAGGACGGCGTTACTCACCAATTTCGTAGAGAACGAGGGGAGGTGAAGGCCTGACAGTGAGCCAGACGGAACCATCGGCCATGGGAGAACTGTGGAGGAACGTGCACGAACAGGTCCCCAAGAGGGGTCAGCCAGAGAGAGTGCAACCAGTGCTTCGAGTGGTGTGACTGTGATGCTGTCGCGAAAGAAGCAGCGGGAAGCACCTGAGTCAAGTGTGAAGGTGTGCAAGGCCTCAGCAGGCATAGTACCAGAGAGAGCCGACTCACCAGCACCTAGAGTAGACTCACCAGCACCTAGAGCAGTCTCACCAGCACCTAAAGCAGCAGCCCCTGTACCATGGTCGGGCAGCACACACAGGTAACAGTCACCTTGAGTACTAATAGTCAATGCCTTCATGGCAGTAAGGATAGTGTCATAGTCTAGCACAATGACATCCACGCCCTGCCTAAGCAGATCTAGCCAGCGGGGGAGCTCAGCCGCGTCGCCAAACTCTGCACGCCAGGTGTTGCTCAGACAGGAAAAGCAGCGGGACTGTATGTGGCCAGGTGTCCCGCATGTCTGACCAGCCCGATCACCTGTGCGAATGACGTACGGGTAGCGAGCACTACTCCTAGACCCCCCACACTGAGCGTACCACTCACGAAGCTACTGGGGCGTAAGGGTCTCACGCGGAAGCGGCTGCAGCTGCACCAGGCCACCACCAAAAACTCCCAACTGACTAGCTGCACCGCGACTGCCACTACTGCCGCCGCCACGACACCAACGAGCGTACCACTCACGAAGCTGCAGGGGCGTAAGGGTCTCGCTCGGACGTCGCTACAGCTGCATCTGGCCATCGCCAGAAACTCCCCACGAACAGCTCCAAAGCGACTACTACTAAGGCCGCCACCACTCCCACTGCTGCCGCCACCACTGCCACCACTCCCACCGCTATCGTGAAGAGAAGTCATGCCACCAGCAGGGCAGCACATAGGGAAGGAGGGGCGGCGAGGAGGCTCTAGGGTAGGGCGGGGCGGTGCACGATCAGGGAAGGGCGGCGCGCGACCAGAGCAGGGCGGCGCACGATCAGAGCAGGGTTGTGCGCGGCTAGAGCAGGGCGGCGCGCGGCCAGAGCAAGGCGGCGCGCGACCAGTGCAGGGCGGCGCGCGGCCAGAGCAGGGCAGTAGCAGGCAGCAGCAGGCCGTAGCTCCTAGGGCAGCAGCACCTAGGGCTCTTTTGTTTTTCATTTTTGTTTTTTAGGGTTCAGTAGGGCGCGCTGGGCGCTGCAGAGGCAGTTTGCGGATTGCAGGGGCAGCAAGCGGGCTGCAGGGGTAGCTCGCGGGCTGCACGGGCAGTGCGCGGGCTGCAAGGCAGATGCGCTGGCTGCAGGGGCGGTTTGCGGGCTGCAGGGGAGGCTTGTGGGCTGCAGACAGGCGGCGCGCGGGCTGCAAGGGTCCGCGCGCGGGCGGCGTGCACGAGGCCTCGCGCAGGCAGGCAGGGCGGACGGGCGTCGCGGCGGGCTGGGGCAGCCCGCTCTGGCGACGCGACGCGCTCGGGCAGGGCCGACGGGCGCAACTGGCAGCAGGGGGGCGCGACGCGACGGGCTGAAGGGGCGCGCAGCGCGACGGGCTGCAGGGGCGCGCGACGCGACGGGCTGCAGGGGCGAGCGATGCGACAGGCTGCAGAGGCGCGCAAGCAGGGCAGGGCGTGCATGGGGCAGCACGACGCGGGGCAGAGCAGGGCGTGCGCAGGGCAGCGCGATTCGGGGCAGGGCAGGGCGTGCGCAGGGCAGCGCAACGCAGGGCAGGGCAGGGCGTGCGCGGGGCAGCGAGACGCGGCGCAGGGCAGGGCATGCGCGGGGCAGCGCGACGCGGGGCAGGGCAGGGCGTGCGCAGGGGAGCGCGACGCGGGGCAGAGTAGGGCGTGCGTGGAGCAGCGCGACGCGGAGCAGAGCAGGGCGTTCGCGGGGTAGCGCGATGCAGGGCAAGGCATGTACGGGGAGTGTGACGCTAGGCAGGGCAGGGCAGGGCGCGCACTGACTGCGCAGCGCAGGTCAGGGCGTGGGGTAGCGCGGTAACCGTAGTCGGTCACTAGCTAATGGTGGGCCCGAAAAAAAACGGTCCTACGGACCTATTGCTCTGAAACCATGTCAGAATCTGATGAGCATGAATGATTGCATTGAGATCAAACTGAGTACAAATACTAACCCTAATTGTGTTGTACCCCATAGAGGCTACCCCACTACAGCCTACAAAACATAAGCAACATTATAGTTTGAAAAATTGGATCTATTCAAGTGTAGGAGTAATTTAGTGAGTGAGTGTGTAGTAGTAGGAACCCACCAGACGAACGAAGTGTAGCAAGTAATGTGTTTGAATTTCAAGCGCTTTATTTAGTGCTAGTGCAGCAAATATCAAACACACACCAGAAAAAATGCCCCGAGGCATCAGGGTTTAGTTCTGGTGATGCCCATCAGGGTCACCTAAGGGGCTCTGCCCTGAAGAGGACACGCATTTCTGAGCCATGCCCTGAGGGCCCAGGGTCCCTAAAAATGAATCTGAGGCCCTGTCGTAGGCTCTGGATACCAAGTGTTATGAGTGCAATTGAGTGAGCGAGCGAGAATTGTCAAATTAAATGTATGATATGTATGGTTAGGCTGTAGTGGGGTAGCCAATATGGGGTACAGCCCCGTTTAGGGTTTCATACTTGTACCCAATTCTTTCACAGTGCATTTATTCCTGCCTAGACTTCTGACATGGTATTCAGAGCAGTAGGTCCGTAGGACCGTTTTTTTATTTTCGGGCCCACCTACCGCTACACCACGACTATGACTGTGACTGTGCCTTGGACGTGCTGAGCTGCGTGCACTGTCAGCTGCCTGAGTTGTCTGCTGCTGCTTCGCGCGCGCAGACTTGATTCCCGTGCGCTGCCCCCCCTTTTGCCCCGCGCGTCGCCCTCACTGCTCACGTCGCGCCTCCGCAGCCGCGTCGCACCCCGCACACCGCTTGCGCAGCCCGCGTCGAGCCCGCGCAGCGCACGCGCGGCCCGCAACTGCCCCGCGCACCGCCTGCGCAGCCCGCGC